GGCTCCATGCGACTTTTTTCTATTCTACAACATGAAAACGAAAAAAAAAAAAAAGAAAATCAGCTCTAACGTCTATCGTCGAGACTGAAGCGTATTTTGTAAAGTTCGAGAAATTATATTTTTTGAAGGGGTTAAATAAATAGCAGAAACGTTGGGAAAAGTGTATAACACTAAAAGGAGATTACGTTGAAAAATAGATATACATTTTTTTTGAAAAACTTGCCTCTTCCTTTCTCACACGGGTATTTTTTGATCCACCCTCGTATACGTATACAATGTGGAAAAGCCAAATGCAATAAATTCATTATTTCGATTACTGTACAAATTTAAATTATAAATTGACATTCTTTAAAGTGAAAAGGTGATCCCTACTTTCAACCCTCTTTGAGTAACAGTTACAACCCCGAATTTTTTAAATGGGAAGTATAGGCTTGTGATATATCGTTTGAAAGGTCTCTTCATTATATATCCAAAAATGTTATTGTTTTTAAATTTATTGCAAATATTAACATAAAAAAAATAAAATCATCTTATTACCTACACTACTATTTCCCGTTTCAGTCTTTATAATAAGATAGTACCAAGCAAAAACCATATCAGACTTCTTTTTTAATATCAATTTAAAAAAATCCTTTAAAAAACTATCATAGCAATGGTAGTTTGTTTAAAAAGCCTTAGCAAATTGGTTTGTAATAATTATAACTGCAGGATATTGTCAATATTATAATTATGTCGTTTGAATTTCATAAAAACGGTTAGATTAACAGAAATGCATAAAATAACAGTTTTACAGATGATTGGTTACGGAGATAACACCCGAATACAAATAGAAGTTGCTCGCCTATTTCATGAAAAATTTCCGGATTTGTCGCCTATATCCCAAGGTACAATTAGTAAAATAGAGAAGCAATTTCGCGAATTTGGACATGTAAAGCAGATGAAAAAAAAAAACAGCTGCCAATGCACTGAGTGATGATATCAAATTAGATATGATGCTTGAGTTTGAGGAAAACCCACATACATCGAGTAGACAAGCATCTGCAACATTTAATGTCAGCCATACATCGATACTAAACATATTAAATGAAAATAAAATGCATCCCTATAAAGTGATACCGACTTAGGAACTCATGGAAGACGATTTTGATAGAACAAATTTTTGCGAACAAATGATGGAAATGTTGAATAACAATACCATCCAATTAGAAAACGTTATGTTTTCTGATGAGTGCACTTTTTCCGTTAACAGTCATGCTAATCGTCAAAATTGCCGCTACTGGTCAATGGAAAATCCTCACTGGATGAGAGAGGTCCATACACAATACCCTCAAAAGGTTAATGTTTGGGCAGGGATTGTTGAAAACCAAATTATTGGTCCTTTTTTCATTGAGGGGAATTGGAATGGCGATAATTGTTTAGCACTACTACAAAATGATGTGGTGCCAAGTTTGGCAAATTAATTCCTGATCCAGGAAACCCTCAAGTTCCAGCAAGATGGAGCACCTCCATATTACCAATCAATGTCCGCCAGTACCTCAACTTAACATTTCCAAATCGCTGGATAGGGAGGCGAGGATCAATAGAATGGCCAGCAAGATCACCTGATCTTACCCCGTCAGACTTTTTTTTATGGGCTATGTGAAAAATATTGTTTACAAAACTAAACCACGTGATTTAGATGACTTAAGAGAATGAATAATGCTTGCGATTAGATCGGTCATGCCTGATATGTTAATTAACGTTAGAAGACATTTTTATTTATGATTGGGATGTTGCCAAGACGAACATCTACTTCATTGACATTCATTTTTTTTACGTTATGGACAATTAAATATTACATATTGAGTGTATTGTAACAAATTTCGGTTATCAGTTATTTTATTTTTTTTATGTTAATTTTTGCAATAAATTTAAAAACAATAACATTTTTGGATAGAGAATGAAGAGACCTTTCAAACGATATATCACAAGCCTATACTTCCCATTTAAAAAATTAGGGGTTGTAACTGTTATTCAAAGGGGTTTGAAAGTAGGGATCACATTTTCACTTTAAAGAATGTCAATTTATAATTTAAATTTGACGTGTTTCGGGATTTTCTATAAATATGTACAGTAATCGAAATAATGAATTTATTCCATTTGGCTTTTCCACACTGTATAGTCCAATAATACCTGTACTAAATTAAATTTTAATAAAAAAAAATAATACATTGAAAATAAATAATAAAAAACAAATTAGTAGAATGTAGTCATGAAAAAGTCATAAAAGACAACAAAAAATGCACAAATATATCAACAAAAGAATTTATGGTTTAAAAAATATTTATACTCTTCACACAGTATAATCTGTAGACGACTATTATGCATTTTTTTGGTTTTGTCCGTCCAATATCACGTTTTTTTTTTGTCCCTAAGATAAATCAAAAAGAAAAACGATATCAAGTTGAAATTTTCAGGAAAAATCAAGCTCTGTAAGGGGACGTAGACTATTAATTTTGAAAAAAATCTGAATAAAAATGGCTGGTTAACGCGGGGTTGATATATTAAAAACAAAATCCTAACTCAAAAACGAACATTTTTAAAAAAAATCAAGCTTTACAAGGAGAAGTAGCCCTTTGATTTTAAATAAAATCCGATTTAAAAATGGAGGGTTTAAGAGGGGTTTAAATAAAAAAAAAATTTTAGATTCATTCTAATTTTCTGTTATAGAGCAAAATACAAATTTTAACAAGCTTATTTTTAAAAATTAGCAAAACATGACCTACGAATTGTCATGAGTAATTTTTAATTTTTCTCATTTTAAAAATACTTAATTACCAATATCTATCAATTTCAATATTTTTTATAAACTATCTCTATTCTGATACCTTTTATAAAAAACTTCGATAGAATGTTAAGAAAATATAATAAAACTAGCTATTGCCCGCGCCTTTGCTCACGACTTTTCATGAATATAGTCGTGTTATTAATATAAAAAAATATATAACTTCCTTTTTTATTTATTTTTTATTAGTTTTATTGATTTTCATTTATTTTTGTTCCTTTTTTTTGTATTTATTAATTTTTATTTATTTTTACCTATTTTTATTCACTTTTATTTATTTTTATTCACTTCCATTCATTTTTATTCAGTTTTATTCATTTTTATTCACTTTTGTTCATTTTTATTCATTTTTATTCATTTTTATTCACTTTTATTCATTTTTATTCATTTTTATTCATTTTTATTTATTTTTATTTATTTTTATTTATTTTTATTCATTTTTATTCAATTTTATTAATGTTTATTCATTTTTATTAATTTTTATTCATTTTTAATAATTTTTATTAACTTTCATTAACTTTTATTAATTTTTATTAATTTTTATTAATTTTTATTAATTTTTATTAATTTTTATTAATTTTTATTAATTTTTATTAATTTTTATTAATTTTTATTAATTTTTATTAATTTTTATTAATTTTTATTAATTTTTATTAATTTTTATTAATTTTTATTAATTTTTATTAATTTTTATTAATTTTTATTAATTTTTATTAATTTTTATTAATTTTTATTAAGTTTTATTAATTTTTATTAATTTTTATTAATTTTTATTAATTTTTATTAATTTTTATTAATTTTTATTAATTTTTATTAATTTTTATTAATTTTTATTAATTTTTATTAATTTTTATTAATTTTTATTAATTTTTATTAATTTTCATTAATTTTTATTAATTTTTATTAATTTAATTTTTAATGAATTTTATTAATTTTAATTATTTTTTATTAATTTTTGTTAATTTTTATTAATTTAATTTTTAATGAATTTTATTAATTTTAATTATTTTTTATTAATTTTTAATAATTTTTATTGATTTTCTTTTTATTTTTTATTAATTTTTATTATTTTTTAATAATAATTTTTTTTTAATTTTAGTTTATTTTTATAATCTACCATGCAAAAATCTAACCACAGAGCACGTCATTATTTATTTATGCTACAATTATAATTTTCAAGTTCCAACGTTCAAAAAATACTTTTATACAAATTTTTACCCCCGTTTCCCCCCCTTAAAATGTGAAAATCCAAAAACCATGAAACACATCATTTTTGATTTTTAATCAGTAGTTGTAATTCAAATTTTTATGTTTCAAATTTTAAATAACAAAAAAATATATACATACTATTAAACAAATTTCCCCCCTCCATTTCCCCTCTTAAAATGTTAAAATGCAAAAATCCTGAAACACTTCATTATTTATTTATGATGAGAACCTACAATTCCAATTTTCAAGTTCCTACCTTTAAAAAAATCGATATCTCCAAATAAACTTTCACACCCATTTCCCCCCTTAAAGTGTGAAAATCCAAAAACCCTAAAACACGTCATTATTAATTTGTATTCATTAGCTGCAATTCCAATTTTCATGTTTCTAACTTTAAAGAGAACCAAAAACATAGATAATCCCAAATAAATTTTCAACCCCCATTTCCCCCCCCCCCCCTTAAAATGTGAAAATCCAAAAACCCTGAAATACGTCATTAATAATTTGTAGTCAGTAGCTGCAATTCTAATTTTCATGATTCTAACTTCAAAGGGAACAAAAAAAATCAATAGTCCCATACAAACTTTCACCCCCCGTTTTCCCCCCTTAAAATGTGAAAATAGGAAAAGCCTGAAACACGTCATTATTTATTTATGCTTAGTAGCTGTAATTTAAATTTTCGTGTTTCTAACTTTAAAGAACAGAGTTTCATTAAAAGCTCCCTCCCCTCATTTTCTCCAATTTCCCCCCTTTAAAGTTAAAATTTTGAAAAATCCTTTCTTAGCGGATGCTTACGTTATAAAATAAACCTATGTTCCAAATTTCAGCTTTCTAGGCTCAGTAGTTTTGGCTGTAGGTTGATAGGTCAGTCAGTCAGGACAAACAATTTTATATATAGAAGATAGATATAGATAGATAGATATAGATTAAATATTATTGTTCCCCAATGAAGATTTATAATACTAACCTCTTCAAAATGGTCATCGCCATTCCCACTCATTTCTCTCCTCATGGGTTGTGGGCTAGGATACGGAGGTGGAGGTGTACCGGGCGGTGTTTCCCATTCCTCTTGGCGATTAAGATCGTTCATGCTTTCGGACATTTTCAAATTTCCTTCATTATTTTGAATGGATAACAAATTTTCCGGACTAGATTTTGTTCTATGATGGGTGGGATTCGGAGACTGTAAAATTGGCACGTTTAAAATAATTGGTTTGTTAAATTGCTAATTCTACAGTAACGTCCACCAGATACTAATTAAAAATGTAGTGGGAATAAGAAAAATCTATGTTATACATATTATTTAAATTATGGAAAAGATAAGAATGGTTTCTACTTTTTATAACGATATTTTGGCAGGTATTCGCCACTCTAACAGAAGATTTCAAGATAAAATTATTGATGTTCTGTTAAAATTTTATTTTAGTTTGAGAATGAATGAATCATCAAATTATATACAAAAACGGAGAAAGATAGAAAATTAAGACAAGTACCATCGAAAAGAGACGAAAATTTACTATAAAATTAAGTACTTTGAACATCGATTCAGAAAGACATCAAGTTTTAATTCAAGGGAGAGACGTTAAAAAACAAGCTAAAATATAGTAAAACGCCCCGTATATAAAAACGGAGAGAGATAGAAAATTGAGACAAGTGCTATCGAAAAGAGACGAAAATTTACTATAAAACTAAGTACTTTGAACATCGATTCAGAAAGACATCAAGTTTTAATTCAAGGGAGAGACGTCAAAAACAAGCTAAAATATAGTAAAACGCCCCGTATACAAAAACGGAGAGAGATAGAAAATTGAGACAAGTACCATCGAAAAGAGACGAAAATTTACTATAAAATTAAGTACTTTGAACATCGATTCAGAAAGACATCAAAATTTAATTCAAGGGAGAGACGTTAAAAACAAGCTAAAATATAGTAAAACGCTCCGTATACAAAAACGGAGAGAGATAGAAAATTGAGACAAGTACCATCGAAAAGAGACGAAAATTTACTATAAAATTAAGTACTTTGAACATCGATTCAGAAAGACATCAAAATTTAATTCAAGGGAGAGACGTTAAAAACAAGCTAAAATATAGTAAAACGCCCCGTATATAAAAACGGAGAGAGATAGAAAATTGAGACAAGTACCATCGAAAAAAGACGAAAATTTAGTATAAAATAAAGTAGTTTGAAAATCCATTTAGAAAGACAAACAACTATTAATTTTTAAATATTTGATAACAAAATATTTTATTTAAAATATCTAAAATGCAACATTCTCTTAATCTAAACCAAGATTTAGTAAATAGAAATAGATAAATTTAAATTAAAATATTTAGAAGACATCTGAATTATATTTTAATGCCTGCTGTAGAGTAAAAAAAAATAAACTTCCCTTATTCCCACTACTACAATCTATCTGTTTTTTAACATTTAACAAAACAACAAAATACTACAAGTCTGAACTGGTTAATTAATGTTAGTTAGCTAGAGAAGAAATAATGTATATGCGTGTGTTATTTTGTAGTAAGATTATATCCAAATTAAACTCATTGGCGACGAAATAACTTTTCTTAAAAGGGGTCTTGAACGTTGTTAGAGTGAACATAAAATTTGATGCGCAAATCGGCTAAGCCCCCCCACAAACCCCCGTTCCGCCGCCAATGATTAAACTAGAATATTAATTAAAAAGTGCGCCATTAGTATGCTGCTAAACTGTGAAATGTTTTAATAAGCGATGTATATTATAGTTTAATATTATTATGTAGTTAAAGTGAATTTTAGTAGTTTAGTATTTTATTCGGTAAGCTTTGAACGCTTGGTTTTTCGTTTTTACATTTATAAACATAAAGTTATAATAGTCACTTGTATAGATCTAGAAAAGCTGAACAATTTTTACAAAACAATCACATTATAAATAATCTAATATACAACCATGCTTCTAACTACTACTTTTAACATTTACATGATTTATAAGTAGTTTATAAATATTTTGGACATAGTTACTACATTTTACCGATCCAATTTTAAATATAACATTTCTTTCTTACTTAAGTTATTTAATTAATTATTAATAATTGTCAACCCTATTTTATAACTTTGTATGTTCTACTATTTTAAAAAGATAAAAATTTTGAGAATTAAAATCAAAATTTTGAGAAAAACTAAAAAATTCAAGGTAAAAGTTTAAATTTTAAGAAATAATCAACATTTTTAGAAAATAAAAAATTTGAGGAGGATGTCAACAGATTTAGAAAAAAAATTTATAAGATTCCGAGAAGATTTTACTGTCTGTTTGATAGTCAGATTTTTAAAAATTTTGGAAGTAAAAGTTTGGAAAAATAAAGTCAAAAATTTAAGAAAAGAAACTCAAATTCAAAAAAAATCAAAATTTTGAGAAAATAAAATTTGAGAAGGATGTCAAAGGTTTTAGAAAAAAAAAACAAACCGACATCAAAATCGTACAGATGCCATCACCATTTTGATCAAATTTATATGGGATAATCCCTGAGGTACCCCCTTACTAATAAAAAAGATTTAAATAAATCGGGCAAGGTGGTAAATAATTATCGTTAAACATACATAAAAAATGAAGAGTCAGGATTTTCTGATGGATCCAATTATCAGATTTTGACCAAATTTATATGGGACCAACCCTGAGGTGCCCCCTTAGTAATAAAAAAAGAATTAAATAAATCGGGCAAGGTGGTAAATAATTATCGTTAAACATACATAAAAAATGAAAAGTGAGGATTTTCTGATGGATCCAATTATCAGATTTTAACCAAATTTATATAGGACTACCCCTAAGGTACCTCCTTACTAACAAAAAAAGAATCATATACATCGGACAAGGTGGTAAAGAATTATCGCTAAACATACATAAAAAATGAAAAGTCAGGATTTTCTGATGGATCCAATTATCAGATTTTGACCAAATTTATATGGGACCAACCCTGAGGTACCCCCTTACTAATAAAAAAGAATCAAATAAATCGGGCAAGGTGATAAAGAATTATCGCTAAACATACATAAAAAATAAAGAGTCAGGATTTTCTGATGGATCCAATTATCAGATTTTAACCAAATTTATATGGGACTACCCCTGAGGTACCTCCTTACTAACAAAAAAGAATTAAATAAATCGGGCAAGGTGGTAAATAATTATCGCTAAACATACATAAAAAATGAAAAGTCAGGATTTTCTGATAGATCCAATTATCAGATTTTAACCAAATTTATAAGGGACTACCCCTTGAGGTATCCCCTTACTAATTGAATCACTGAAATCGGACAATGTTAAAGAATTATCGCTGAAGTCGGTTAAAAAATTTGAAAAGAATGTCTATAGTATTAGAAAAAAAATCCAAGATGTTGGGAAATGAAATCAAATTTTTGATTTTGATGTTTGCCAACCAAATCATAAGATTTTAATTTTTTTTTTTTTTTTTTTTTTTTTTTTTTTTAGAAAAAAGTTGAAATCTAAGAAATATGCTAAAATTTAGGAAAAATTTAGGAAAAATTTAGGAAAAATTTAGGAAAAATAAAGTCAAAAATTTGAGTAAAGAATGTCAAATTTAAAAAAGTAAAAATTTTGAGAATCAAAGTCAGAATTTTGAGAAAAACTAATAAAACCCAAGGAAAAAGTTAAAATTTTGAGAAATAATCAAAATTTTTAGAAAATAAAATAAAAAAATTGAGAAAATCAACTGTTTTAGAAAGAAACAATCCAAGATGTTGGGAAATGAAGTCAAATTTTTATGAAAATAATATTCTTTGACTTTGATAACCAGATTTTTAATTTTTTTATAAAAAAGTTAAAATTTAAGTTATAATGCAAGATTTTGAGAAAATAAAAGTAAAAATTTTGAGAAAAACTAAAAAAATTTAAGTAAAAATTTAAAAGTATGAGAAATGATAAAAAAAAATTGAGAAGGATCAACAGTTTAACAAAAAAAAATTCAAAACGTTGGGAAATAAGTTAAATTTTTGAGAAAATAATATCCATGTGTTTGCTAACCAAATCATAAGAATTAGATTTTTTTTTTAAATTGATAAGCGGTTTTCACTAGAATTCTGGGAAATGTTTAAATTATTTTATAACATGGTTGCCAAGTCTCAAATTATCGTAAAAAATACTTTTTTCAATTCAGAATAAGGACTTATTAAATATGTGTACTATATACTCTAAGTCGGTAAAATGTAATTTTTTCTATGTCAGAAATATATTTTTATTATACAATAAAACAAAGACAAAAGCAAAAGCAGCACAGCAGCATTGTGGCAGCGGCGGCACTGTAATAATTATTTTACGGTGAGAAAAATACAAATCAACAAATAAAGTGCCGATGACCAAGTTTCTGTTGATCTGGGATTTTTTTATTTAAAAACAGCATCATCAATAATTTTGTTTTAGTATTCCAAAGTATTTTGAATTTTAAGTATTTAAATATGGAACAATAACAGATTTGGAAAAATAATTTCGGAACGTGAGTTTCACACAGCATAAAACTGGTTGTTTACTAGTTGAAATTACAACAGGGTATCTATTCTTCAATCTCGGGAGAGTAGAAATTTTGAGGTAAGAATGGGACAAAAATACAAATTTTGTCAAATGTATTGTATTATATAAAAAATAGAAAACACATTTTTTATTTTAGTAGTAGTAGTAGTATGAAAAATTACTAAAAATATTTTTTTCACAATATGAAAGAACGTGATAAATAATGATTTTAATAAAATATTAATATTAATATTTAGTAACAAAATAAGAAATTGTAAATTAACAAGTGCGTTTTTGTCAGTAATTTTTTTTTTAATAAACAATTTTTTCTTAAAAATCATTATAATCAGGAATTAAATTCCCAGAAAAAAAATTTAATCTTATTAACACGTTGACGGACACTGCGCTGCTAATGTCATAATGTGTTGTGCAAAGTGAGAAGTAAGATACAAAAGTTGCTGAATTTCATTAATCTACTCAAGAGGGGGGGATTTCATGGTTCGATGACACTATAACTATTAAGAATAATTTATATATATTAATTAAAAAAAAAATTCTGAGTTCGTTACAACCGCTACTCGTTTTTACTCCAATTTTCAACTCGAAATTAAAAGTATAAATATTGTCCGGGAAGTAGGAGTTTTCTTTAGGAAATTTTCTGCTCTTTAAGGACTTTTTTTTTAAATTTTGATTATCTCAAATAGTTTTTGAAATATTTTTAAAAAACCAAACCATTCTTTTTTTACGTTGTTTATTTTTGTCAAACAAAATCATAATTTTCGGTTTATGACGAAAGTTCTTGTCGTACTAGAGTAAATTATTTTTGACTATCTTCGTGTAGATATTTTCAACTTTCCAAAACAATTTTTCCAAATCTGTTTAAGATTAAAAGCTTCCTACTTAAAAGCAATAGATATCGTTAAATACAATTTAGAAATAACAAAATATAATGAGTTTCTTCTTTAAATAACTGTATATCTATTATTTGTTTTATACCACGTTGATGAAACCATTTTTAAATCCTTGATCAGAAGAGACAGGATCAATTAAAAATTTTAATTAAATAAAAAAAAAAGAAAACAAGAAACTCACAGAGTTACTTACATCATCGTTAACTAACGTAGCACACGTTGCCACTAACGGGTAAGACATTTGTTTATTTATTGAGTTGACCGCGTCTTCCAAGGGCAAGGGAGCAGAATGGGTAGTTCTGGGAGGTAAAGGAGGAGGTTGATCGGATACATTCAATGACAAAGAGCACGCAGTAGGCTTAATTTTTACTTTACACTTAGAACTCGCTATGTTAGCGTTTATCTCGTTTTGGATAAAATTAACGTCCAACGGTAATTTTCCGTTAATATAAGGAAATTTTCGTTTGTAAGGTTCGGTAACGGCCCTTTGGCGATTAGAAAGGTTGTTTCTTTTAGGTAAAGGAGGTGGTACGTCCGAATTTCCATTTGGAGAAGGTGGTGTGCGTTTTTGGGGAGATGGAGAAGGAGAGGAGTCTGTGTGTGGAGATTGTTGCTGTAAGAGAGAGAGAGATAGTAAAGCGAAGTTAGTTATACGTGTTGATGCTGCAAGTTATGGGACAGCCAATTCATGGCCGGTGGGTATTGACCAGGTCACAATGAAAGTATTATAAAGCCATTAAGTGTTCAATTTGTACAGCAAAGTTCATAAAAAATGGTATACGATATTGAAATTCAACATACATATCATTTATTTTCTGCCTCTGTATAATTGATAAAAATTGCAGGCAGGATAAATAAAAAACGGCTTGATAATTTATGATTTTTATCCTGCCTGAAATTTTCATCATGTAATCGGCCATGATCAGAGGGTCAAAGGCAATTAGAGAGATAATTAGTGTAATTAGCAATTACTCTTAGTTCCCCTTCCCTTCGCGTAATTAGCAATTATACTCATTACTTGTTGTACAGAATAATTGCGTTAAGGGTGGGGGTACTTAGGGTAATTACCACTCTAATTACCTCTGACCATGTCTAGAACCGGCAAATCACATCTACTATTGCAATAATTAAAAAATAGAAAAGGTAAATCAAACGAGGGTGGTCCTTAGGATCTCACAAGAGTATATTTTATTACGACCGGTTTCGAGGATCAGATCCTCATCATCAGGTAAGGTCTAAAATAGAGAGGAAAAACGAATGAGCTCATAACTAATAAAGTGGGTTTAAAAATTTTAATATGAAAGTTGTCAAATATCAAGAACTCACCCGTAATTACTCATCTATTTAAGACTAAGTTAAGAGAATTATCCCAGGATCGGTGTAAAAACAAGTATGGTGTTAATGAAAAGAAGAAAAAACTATTGATTTGGTTAGTTGTTTTTTTTTTTTTTTGAAGTAATGTGCTGAAAAATGAAAATGGAGACAGAATAAAAATAGAGATAAGTAACTAATAATTAAAGTCAATAGAATTTCATAGGGAAAATTTTAAAGTAAAATGGGGGGGGTAATTTAAGGAAAACGTAGATTTTTAAAAAAGAACTGAGAACGTGGGTGTGGATTCGGAAAAAACTTGTGAGTTTAGTGATGATGCATTGGTACTTTTTCTTAATCTAAATATTTCTAGGTTCTCCAAATTATTCAATATCAACTTGTTGTGGCAAATGTGGAGTACCCTAAAGCCATCCCCTGAGTCAAAATCGTGATTGGACTCTACTAGATGGGTGGCAAAATGTGAGAAGCCGGTTGTGGCAGTATTCAAACATCTTAAATGTTCTTTAAGTCTAGTCCTAAAATTACGAAAGGTTCTACCTACATATTTGGCTGGGCAAGACTTACAACTGAGTTCATATATGCCTGGTTGATCCATGATGTCCACTTTATCTTTATTCTTGATGAAAAAGTTACTAATTGAGTTGGAGGATTTAAAAGAAATTTTGAAGTGATTTTTGAGGATATTATAAGAAATATTTCCAATATAGGTGACATATACTTACTAATGCTAGCCTCTACAGGTATAGGGTTAGTTATAAATGTTTTATTTTGAATAATTCTATTTTGTTTTTTACTCAACATTTTATCGATTAAACTGTGATCATAATTGTGTAGATGAGCTATGTTTTTTATTGTGTTAAGTTCTCTATTGTAGTTTTCAATGGATAAAGGTACTCGTAATAGACGTTCTAAATAACAATTAAAGGAAGCTAATTTATGCGAGATGGGGTGATTAGACAAATTATCTATTACTACTCCTGTATGAGTGGGTTTTCTATAGATATCAAAACTTAATTTAGAGTCATTGTTATGGGATATTTTTAAATCTAAAAAGTTTATAGATTTATCTACTTCGGTTTCTAAAGTAAACTTAATGTTGGTATGTAGAGAGTTAACATGAGACAAGAAATCATACAATGAGTCTTTGCTACCAGTCCATAGTATTAGAATATCATCCACAAATCTATAGTAAAATTTGATTGATTGGCAAAAATTATTGTTATCTAAGATATTGTCTTTTTCAAAGTTATGCAAAAATATGTCTGCCAATATGGGACTCAAAGGGGAACCCATAGCTAAACCAGTTTTTTGTGAAAAAATTTCTCCATTGAACACAAAGAAATTTTGATCTAAGCAAATTTTAAGTAGATTGGTGAATTCAATTAGTTCTAAATCTGATAAAGTAGAATTTGACAAAAAAGAATTAATCAAAGACAAGACTTCTTGAATAGGGATGTTAGTAAAAAGGTTCGACACATCTAATGAGATTAACATATCGGTCTCGTTGATATGAGTATCCTTGATATTATCTATTAACACTAGGCTATTTTTTACTGTGTGTGTAAAATGATCTTTATAATAACCTTTGAGTGAATCATTAAGCCATTTAGCTGTGAGGTAAGTTGGTGAATTCACGAATGATACTACTGGACGTATGGGCATATCTTTAAAATCATCTGATTTATGTATTTTTAGAAGACCATATAAACGTGGTATTAACTTATGATCTGGTTTAAATCTGTTAAATAAAGACTCTGTTATCAAGGATTTACTATTTTTGAGAACATTTTTAAATTTAAAATTATATTTACAAATTCAAACAATTCATTTTATAAACCTATATTATTATTATTAAGAAACATTTATTTTTTTCGCCAACGCCATCTATTAGCCGATGGTCAAAATATTTAAATTTGACAACCTCTAAACTGTTATCTTAAATATTAGAATGGTTAATTCGTCTATTTATACCTAGAGGGCGTTAATCAGTATATTTAATCTAAATAAAATTTAATTCCTGTAGAATTTGTTTGTCTTAATTGTTCGTCCGTTCGTGAAATATTTTAATAATTTTAATTAATAGTTTTAGACCTACTTTTGTTTATGTGTTTTGACATCAACTTTTTGTTGCAACTATTGTTTTTTATGTATTTTAAAAAATACTCGCATACTTGTTTTTACACCGATCCTGGGATAATTCTCTTAACTTAGTCTTAAATAGATGAGTAATTACGGGTGAGTTCTTGATATTTGACAACTTTCATATTAAAATTTTTAAACCCACTTTATTAGTTATGAGCTCATTCGTTTTTCCTCTCTATTTTAGACCTTACCTGATGATGAGGATCTGATCCTCGAAACCGGTCGTAATAAAATATACTCTTGTGAGATCCTAAGGACCACCTTCGTTTGATTTACCTTTTCTGAACTTATAACTCACATGGCTACCACCTTCAACTTTAATTAAAAAATATATTTTTTTTAATATCAAATCAAAGTACAAATAAGATATTGTGGTCTGCAATCAGGTGTGTACCAATATATTTAAAATATGACTGTTCAGATGAATTCATAATTCATTTTTAGAAATGTCATCATTTTTTAAATCGGGAAATAAATAATACAAATAATTACAAATTGTGATTAACAATTCAACAGGTATTCTACATTAAATGTTCTATTACTATTCATATTTATTTGTGACCTCTATTTAAAAAAATATAAAATAAACAACGGCTCTAGTATGTAGGTTGTACTTACTTTTATTTGGACAAATAATTAGCGGTCAAATACTTTCATTTTCTGGCAATGGGTTAATCATAGGATGTTAAAAATAAAAATATGTCTTGGGGTTTTGATGACGCAACGAATTAGTAATTATTAACAATTATTTACAGTAGATTTACTGTGTGTTCCAGTAAGATAACGTTTAATAAATTTACACTATTAAATTCTAGGGATAGATAAGGCGATTAAAAATATTAAATTAATGTCCGAAGAATCAATAATTTAGAGATAATGCAGTAATAAAACGTAACTTTATACCATCGTTATTTTAATTATGAATATTAACAGTTATATTATCTGTAAAATATCCTTTTAGTGGGCCAAAATTAAATTTTAAATATATTTTTTTTTTATTATAAAAAGTTTTGGCAAATGTTGAGTAAAAATAAAAATTTAAAACTTTTTACTTTGATATACTGATTAAAAGAGAAAATTTTAATGGTACTAAGGTGGTTTGATATCACGACATTAGTTTTTGTGTTGAAATTTCATTGCAATAACACCAGGTTTTTGTGACTCTTGTACAAAGTACTATGATGCATACTTTTTAAGATCGTATAATTTCTATACAGAACCACCTTGTTTCTTCTTTTCTACAGCATCACAGATAATATTATGAAAAGACGAGAACGAGAAGATGAGACTGCCAAGCGTATTCTCTACGATTTCCCGCAAGTAGCCAAAGCAGGCATTACCGGAGTATGGAGGACCCCTCCACTTTTTTAAGCCACGTCCCTTTTCAAACTGCGCATACGCTGACAGCTGTCATCTGTTAATCTGTCAGCTGTCAATCCAGTGTTGCCAACTGTTAATATGCCAACTGCCAATATGTCATCTGTCAACAATAAATCTAGGTGGAGGTCAAACCTCCAACGGTAGGTTTAAATCTTTAACATCTAATTATTTTAAATTCCGACATAAAGATTATACTAAATCATTATTTTTTATTATATTTATTATCTTTTCTTAATATTACGAGGGTCATTCAATAAGTAAAGAGACAAATTATATAATTTTAAAACTATTCAATGAATGTGTACAATCTTTTCAGGGGTGTTAGTTGGCAACCTTGTGATATGCTCTGTTTCATCATTTTATGTCATCATAACCTCAAAATTTTCAATTCGCCACTAGAAGATTGCACCTTAGAAGAGCAGCGCTCAGTCATTAGATTTTTAGTCACAGAAGGTGTAAAAGAAATACGAATAAATACAAAAAATCCTCATTCAATTATTATACTTAATTAAAAAGTGTATAAATTTACACTATTAATACATAGAAGGAAATAATAATAATTAAACAAATAAAAATCGAGTTACATTTTTTTAAACTTAGATTTACCCGTTTCTTATTGGAACACACAGTAATGTGGCAATAATTACAATATTTGTACCTGGTTGTCCCAAGTGAAATATTAAGACAGTCACCATCACTAGTGCCACCACATTAGCTTAACTAATGAAATTTACAAAAAAACAATAATAAGCAGTCGTAGAAAATTGAAAACAACAAATGAATTTTTGTATGTAAGCAATTTTTTAACTATTTAACACTAATTAATCTAGTTAATTAAATGTATGTTATAAAATGATAATTTTATGTTCACTAGAACCGATCTTTTCACCTCTGAGTAAAGTTACACGTGGGATTATTTGACAGATTAGCAAACTATAGCCTTATAGTTACTTTCACCTTTACTTATGACTGCTTTAGACTATATAATTTCTTATACAAAATATTGTGTAGTCTGAAGTCTTTATAATTTTTAAACTGTTTTAAAATCATCTGAATTTACAAATTTAGTTTATTTAAATTCATATGCATTCACCATAATATTTCTGGTATAGATGTGACCATCGAAAAGAGACGAAAATTTACTATAAAATAAAGTATTTTGAAAATCGATTGTAAAAGACACCAAAATTTAATTCAAGGGAGAGATGTCAAAAATCAGCTAAAATATAGTAAAAATATAGTAAAATATACAAAAACGGAGAACGATAGAAAATTGAGACAAATACCATCGAAACGAGACGAAAATTTACTATAAAATATTTTGAAAATCGATTTAGAAAGACATCAAGTTTTAATTCAAGGGACAGACGTCAAAAACAAGCTAAAATATAGTAAAACGCCCCATATACAAAAACGGAAAGAGATAGAAAACTGAGACAAGTACCATCGAAAAGAGACGAAAATTTACTATAAAATAAAGCATTTTGAAAATCGAGTGAAAAAGACAACAAGATTTAATTCAAGGGAGAGACGTCGTCAAAAACAAGTTAAAATATAGTAAAACGCCCCGTATATAAAAACGGAGAGAGATAAAAAATTGAAACAAGTACCATCGAAAAGAGATGAAAATTTACTATAAAATAAAGTATTTTGAAAATCGATTGAAAAAGACACCAAGATTTAATTCAAGGGAGAGACGTCAAAAATCAGCTAAAGTATAGTAAAAATATAGTAAAATATACAAAAACGGAGAGAGATAGAAAATTGAGACAAGTACCATCGAAACGAGACGAAAATTTACTATAAAATATTTTGAAAATCGATTTAGAAAGACATCAAGTTTTAATTCAAGGGAGAGACGTCTAAAATCAGTTAAAATATAGTAAAACGTCCCGTATACAAAAACGGAGAGAGATAGAAAATTGAGACAAGTACCATCGAAAAGAGACGAAAATTTACTATAAAATTAAGTACTTTGAACATCGATTCAGAAAAACATCAAAATTTAATTCAAGGGAGAGACGTAAAAACAAGCTAAAATATAGTAAAACGCCCCGTATACAAAAAGAGAGAGCCAGAAAATTCAGACAAGTACCATCAAAAAGAGACGAAAATTTACTATAAAATAGAGTATTTTGAAAATCAACTTAGAAAGACACCAAGTTTTAATTCAAGGGAGAGACGTCAAAAATCAGCTAAAATATAGTAAAATATACAAAAACGGAAAGAGATAGAAAACTGAGACAAGTACCATCGAAAAGAGACGAAAATTTACTATAAAATAAAGTATTTTGAAAATCGATTTAGAAAGGTAGCAAAATTTAATTCAAGAGACTTCAAAAACAAGCGAAAATATAGTAAAATGCCCCGTATACAAAAACGAATAGATAGAAAATTGAGAGTTTTACAAAATTAAAAAATAATGTATTTTCTTCTCTAAAATCGATAAATATTTCGCTAATTATATATAAAAATGGAGTAATAAGAAAAGCCTTAAAAATTTTTGCTTCGCCGTTTGCATTTTCAATCTATACTAAGAAATAATAATAATATTGTAGTTGACTTCAAGAACGATTGTCAATCGTGTTATTCAATTAGTAATTGTAGGATAAGAATGCTTACTCAGTACATTCTTTGGTAGAGTATTCTCCATTGTTCAGCAGTGGAATTTAAAAAAATAAAATCAATTAGAAAAAATATAAAACTACAAATAAAATATAATATTATATTAAGATCTTTTTCTGTATTAATTATTATTAACAAGTGTTAATAATTGTTGTAATGTAGCTATTAAGTATTATACTCTATTTGAAATGAATTTAAAATCGTTATTTATGAAACAAGTGTGTAAAGCTACTCTTTTTTGACGAGAATGTTGTCTCAAGAGAAAAATATGTATTTTACGCACGGTAGTAGAAAAAATATACTATTTTTTATCCATAATACGCCATAAAAGTGTAACATAATTTTGGTTCTACTGACATTTATCTTTTTATTTTCTTGTCTATATACAGATAAAACAAGTATAGGAATCACGATTTTTTTTTAACCTCGAGTTTTCGACGGATTTTTACGTTTTATGTCTGTATTTTCGATAAATCATCTACTCTACAGATAAAGAGAAAAACATCAAATTTTATACAGTAATTTGAGCCATTTTCGACCAATCTACCTTGTTTGGGCTTTGTTACGACTCCAGTTGTCCTTAAAACTAGGAATATTTGATGAAGGGTATAAACCCCCCCTTTACCCAACTATGGAAGCGCCTATGCTCACAGATAGTCGGTATGAATCATTCATTCGTGAATGTACTAAAACGCAGCTTTTATAGAAGTAAATTCGAGAAATTGCCGGAAAGGCCTGTCTAGTACACCAATTTATATATTAGGCTGTGTTGCATAGGTAATCAGTCAGTTGAAGTCGAGTCATAGCAGTGAAAACATCGATAAAGTAAATGTGATATAAATTAGTGTAAAATAATAAAAGTGTGAAATAATGCATGGAACATGGAAGAAAGCAGAGCTGGCACAAAGTCTAAAAGCATCAATAGAACGGGGTTTGGATCCGATGACGTATCTATTTTCGGATAATATTTTTGCTATAATTTCTTCTTTGGAAAGTAAAGTGTCTTCTATGAAAACTGATATTTCTTTTGAAAAAATCTAAATAATCTTTACATTTCTACCTTTTGTTTAATTATATTTTTTAAAAATCAATTTTGAATTATTTGATGTGTTTATTAATTCCTTTTATGTTGATGGAATTTCATATTGTTAATATTAATTTTTAGTACCATGAAAAAATTAATTTTTTTTAATTGTTCAAAGTTTTACTTACTTACTCTTATAAGGGCCTCGTAAAAAAACAGAATTAATTTTTGTTTAAAGAGCGAATATTTGGCAGTCTAAAGACCGCAAACTATCAAAGCTAAACCTTATTATAGGTGTATTACATCAAGGAATTAAAGTCAAATTGTGAAGAACCAATTATTACTTCTATTGATTAACATTTAATTTTTGTCTTTTATACAGGGTGTTGTAAAACAACTTATAGATATTTTAGAAGGCGACTGCTATTGCGAGTTTATGAAGAAAATTTAATATCAAACATGTAGCCTAAAACGATTGGTTTTTAATGTACAGGGTATATCATATATCATTTTGAAAATTATACATGTTTTAACAAATCTCCTGATTGTATCATCAATGTTATCAAAATAGTTGGTAGTTATTACTTATTAAAAAAAACCATTTGTTATCCTTAATTTATCAACGACTGCTCAAAAAAAAAGAAAAGCGAACCATTCATTACCAGCACACAGACATATCGCTACTGCACATATTTTCATACATATTTAGAATGAAGTACAACATAAAAAGTAAAAACTTACCTCGCTCTGACTTCGTTGTAACATCGCCTGCAATGTATGAAGATTTTTTTCGGTTTTCGCTAGTTCGAGGCACTTCTTTTCGTCCGGCGAAGATGCGATTTGGCTACGAAGAAGATCTATGTAGTGCTGTTCTTTTTCTATCATTAATCTGTAGTATTGTTCTTTCTCCAACTGAAGTTGATATTGTTTTTCGTTCTAAAGAAATAGTGAAGAAAAAATGGGTGATCATGTCGCTTTCATTATTTACATTTCGATGCTGTTAAGAGACTCATAAACACACTACTACTACTACAATCATCATCGCTCTGAAGGAATAATGCAATGAAAGATGAGCGTGTTTGAGACTCGTTTACTATTAGTGTATAAAATCAGCCCTTTTGGTTCTACAACATTTTTTTGGTCCTTCAAACCTATACATTGAAAAACCGGCTCCAAAAACCATGTAATAATGAACGTGTTACTTAACAGTGGTAGAAAAAAATATTGTGTAGCTGATGACACTTACATCAACTGGTTGAGGTCCAGTAATTCTTGACGAAGTTGGTGTGGTTACCGATCGATTGTGTAAACTTGGAGATCCCATAGTTCTTGGCACATTAGATCTTTGTTGAACAGTTAATACTACTTGAGAGGAAGCTGTAAATAATTTAAAAATAAATACAAATTAGCGCGTACTAAAAACAATATTTTTCACTAAATGTATCGAAACACCAATAAATAACTTAATTATCTTTTAAATTTTAAAACAATAATTAGTAGATATGAGATCATGAAAAACTATTTAAACAGTTGATTATTTTTCCATTTTATTTGGAAAGATAACTGGTAAATGCAATTTTTTAATGGGTGATTAAAATATTATTGACTCATTTTAAACGCATGCTATTAAATACACGAAAATGCGGTAATCTAAATTTAAGCAAAAGGACCTAAAGAAATAGGAATCTTTTAAACGAAATAAAAGTGAAGCTAATTGAAACAAAATGTTTCTTTCTGTTTATTTTCTGTAATGTTTTCCTATCATATTTTATAAAAATAAATGCTAATTATAATTATGCGACATCCCATCAGACTGGTGCATAATTTGTAGAATAATAATTAAAATAATAATCTTTATTAAATAGATAGTCCAAAAAATATATAAAATAAATATAAGAGAGTTACAAAAATATAAGAGTTTGAGGCGATATGTATCTAAAAACCTGGACAAATTTTGTAGTGCACTGTCAATTTTTAGCACCGCTCTTTCTAGTATTTCATCTGCAGCTGCAATCATACTATTCGCAAATATATTATGAGACTCACAACCCTCCACATACTTAATGTTACTGAGGTACAAAATAAATATAAGGGGTCCCAAGATGCTGCCCTGAGGAACGCCGCTTTTTACACTTTTATTAATTAATTTATAATCATAAACTTTAGTATTCTACGAACGGTTACGGAGAAAATGTTTAAACCATAATAATCCTGTAACTTTAACTCCATAATATACAAGTTTTTTTTAACTACTTAATATTGAAATGACAATAGTTTCAAAAGCCATTTTGAAGTCTAAGAAAACAGCTACAATATATATCAAATTTCCATTTTGTTAAAGTTACTTGTAATGCCGTTTCACATGAATGCTTAGCTCTGAACAATGGCGCAGCCAGAATTTTGTATTAGGTGGAGTTTTGAAAAAATTGGAGTATTTAAAAAATATATTTTTTTTTATCTGGTTTAACTTTTTGAATTTCAAAAGTCTGGGTTCGTGCCAGGGTCTGAAGGGATTTTAGCCCCTAAACCACTCTCGCTGCGCCACTGGCTCTGAAAGCAGATTGATATTTTATTAGTAAATTATTATTTTCTAGATAATCTAATAACTGATCATATACAAAAAGCTCTAAGATTGTTTACTAACAGGGGCAGCGTATTAATAGGTCTAAAATTTTTAGCTTCATTATTTTTGTCTATTTTAGACAGGGTTCGAAAATATCATATTTAAAACGAATATACATTGAGCACCATAAGTCTTCCCCCCCCCCCCCCCTATCTAACTCATTACTGGAGTCTTGTTAGGAAAATTGCCGAGACAGGTCGATTTTTGATTTCTACAATGTACATTTTTGTATTATTAGTTTACCCTTAATTTCATCCCTTACTGGAGGGGAGCAACCCTTTCGAACCGTGCAAAAAAATTTGAAATTTGCTTCAATACGTGTTGATTTATTAATGTTTAAAAATAACAAAACCTCACAAAATAGGAAAGCAACTAAACTAACAGTGACCTTCTAATGGCAAAAAGTCTTCACGCCTGAACCAAAACCGAAATCATGCAGGGCCGAATTTTAATTCTAAGGATGAGTGCGCTACGTTAATTTCCGTTATTCTGAAACAACAATTAGTCGAGAATTAATGAAGCAAATTCCAAATTTTTTTTACACGGTTGAATAGAGAATAAAACTCTCTTTCAAATGAGCTATCACTCACCACCCCATGCCATTTAAATTTTTCGAAAGGGTTGCTCCCCTCCAGTAAGGGACGAAATTAAGGGTAAACTATTCATACAAAAATGTACAATGTAGAAAACAAAAATTGACGTGTCTTGGCGATTTTCCTAACAAGTCTCCAGTAATGAGTTAGATAGGGGGGGGGGGGTAAGACTTTTGGTGCTCACTGTATATCCAATATAGATCATTTTTAAAATTTAATTATTTAATTTAAAAAAAATATTGTTTCTTGCAAAAACTATATTTTAAATTACAACACAAACACATTAACAAAAATCTGATGTGTCCAACATATGACTTTCCTATCTAGTTACTATCAGCCTTTTTATTGGACGCTGGAATAAAGCTTAAGTTTAAAATTTGGTGTTTTTCTTTGTATCGATGCATGAGTTATGGTGGATACAGACACACACACTGACACACACACTGACACATACACAGACATCATCGCGAAAATAGTCAAAACGGATTCAGGGGACCTCAAAACGTAAAAATCCGTCGAAAACTGGAGTTCGAAAAAAATCATGATTCCTATACTTTCCTTATATCTGTATACAGATAGGAAAGTAAAAATACATAATTTGAATATATTGCTGTATTTTTTTCATAGGGAAATACACCTATGGTTAGGTTAGATAGATATTAAGATCTATCTAACCTAACCATAGGTGTATTTACAGCAATATATTCAAATTGCGCAACTCATTGAATTGCAGTCCACCGTCCGACCAAGATTTTACGTCTAGTCGGTGTTTAATCTATATATACCGGGTGTTTAAATTAAAGTTTTACAATTAAATACCGGCGAAAATACGTTTTTTATAAAAAAAAATCTTATGTGTCCAACACAGACTTTCCTATCTAGTTATTATAGGTTTTTTTTCGGTTATTTTGTACAACCTATTGTAGACCTCTATAAATGTTTAGAGGATAAACATATACATTTTCCACATACATCTAACTCGAAATATTTTTCTATAGATATTCATTGAAAACGAAAATACTGAAAAATTTAAATTTAGCGAAAAAAATCATGATTCCTATACTTTCCTTATCTGTATACATATAGGAAAGTAAAAATATTAAAAATAAAGATTTTAACATTTATATTAGTATATCCTCATCTGATGAATTATAAATATCAGAATCTTCAGATAAGGCTGGTTTCCATGATCAGTCAAGGTTCCTTTTCTTTTTGTCTATATTTTGATTCATACACTTAAACAGCAAAAACATAACAAATCATGGTGAAGCTGGGAACCCCAAAGTCGGCGCGGCGATGCTTGCGCGACAGCCGAATAAATCGCTGATTATTATACTTTTGTACAGGGGCGTATTGAGACATTTTCGAATGTTTAGAATGGTGGAAAACATTTTTAATTTAATAAATAAAATTATCGAATATATCGGATATATATCACTTGATATACAGGGTAGGGTGTCTGTAAAAGGTCTTTACAAAAACATACCACATATTCCTTAGACCAAAATAAGTCGATTTAAGTAAAATTACCTTAGTACAAAGTTGCTTCGCTTGGGCTCCAGAGGGCCTTGAAGTTACAATTTTTAAATCGTTTTTTCCCATATAAATTTAAAACGGCATACGCGATTTTGCTGAAATTTGGTATATTGGTAGAGTTTTATGTGGCAAAAAAATGGTATTAAAATTTTGTCCGATAATAATACATAGGCGTAGAACTTGATTTTTTAAATAATTGCACCTTTAAAAATTCTACGCCAATGGAAGAAAATGAGTTTAAGTATGAAATTTAGATTGCGCAACTCATTTACTTTAAAAAAGGTACTCTTGATAAGACTCTCATGATTTTGACGAAATTTGCTTTTTAGTAATTTTAGAACATAAACAATAATTATTAAAATACAAACTTTGTCAAAACCATGAGAGCAAATCGAGTGTTATCAAGGGTACTTTTTTGTAGTAAATGAGTACCCAATCCAAATTTCATATTCAAACCCCTTTTCTGCCATTGGCGTAGAATTTTTAAAGGTGCAATTATTTAAAAAATCAAGTTCTACGCCTATGTATTATTATAGGACAAAATTTTATACAATGAAAAACATAAAAATGTACTTTTTTCATATCTTCTTCAACACCTCTAATCGAGACTTTTAACAAAAATACTCGATTCTTGCCATGTACGATTTTTTGAGGAATATTAATTATTTGCCTGCAATACGTATACAAAAACTTTTATTGTTGGTTTCCATAGTTTCATCTAAATAAAAATATTGTCAAGTTTTAACACCTAATCTCTTGTTAAGGATTGAAAGTGTTCTATCTGACTCAATTATTAAAAAAACAAATGCGTGGTTTATTAATATGGCTGTACAATATACCAATGCAGAATATACCGATATGTTACTGACATTAGGATTTTGTGAAGGAAATGCTCGAGAGAGTGTCACAGTGTACTCTGAAAGGTTTCCAAATCGTCGTGTACTTAGCCACCCAGCTTTTACTGCTGTTGAGAAACATGTTCGGGAGACCGGTTCCTTTACTCCCAACACTGTTGATAATGGAAGAGAACGTTTTGTAAGGATTCCTGAAGTTGAAGAAGACATTTTAGAACGTGTTGAAGAAAATCCAAAATTAAGCACTAGACAAATTGGAAGGGAACTAGGAGTAAGTAAAGATGTCGTTCATAAAGTGCTTAGAGAACAATTGCTATATCCATACCATAAGAAGCCAGTACAAGAATTATTAGTCCATGATCCTCAAATTCGTTTGGGTTTTTGTCGATTTGTTAATATGCAAAGAGAAAGAGATCCAAACTTTGTCAAGAAGGTTCTCTTTACCGATGAAGCGGGTTTTACAAGAAGAGGTATAACTAATACCCATAATGAACATGTTTATGCCGTTGAAAATCCGCATGCAATAAAGGTAAACCAGTTTCAGCACGAATTCAAAATTAATGTGTGGGCTGGAATAATTGGTAATTTCATTGTTGGTCCTGTCATACTTCCACGAAGATTAACTGGAAAAAATTATTTGGATTTTCTACAAAATACGTTGCCAGAATTGTTAGAAGATTTACCTCTCCAACTTCGGAGAGATATGTGGTTTATGCAAGATGGAGCTCCACTACATTTTTCTTTAAACGTTAGAAACCACTTGAATGAACA